AATATACCTATATTTTATATGTATATATTTATATTATATTTTTCATAGGTACATTATTGGATATGTAATTTACAGATTTTTTTTTTGTTTGCAATTTTAGTTGGCGAGATGTGAGGGGGAATGACAACTAAAAGAAATGGGGTGATTGATATGCTATTAATAGGGAGTATATTAATTACAATTATGGCAGTTAATGAAATGCTTGAAATAAATTATAAATAAAATATGAAGTTTAGTGGCAACGATGTAAAAACATAGAAATACTACGACCTCTTATATCCTACTGGTCATTTAAATTTGAATTTGGGTTTTCAACGTAGTTATATAGATAGATGGGTTTGTGTCTAGGGGATATCAGTTGTATGGGCTTATATTGGAGTCTCTCAAAAAAAAAACAAAAAACCTAAATACTTCCTTGTAGTGGAAGGAACAATATCCGAGTTTGACCAAAAAAGAACACGCACATCTTGTGTTGTTGCAGACACCTTACTAGCCATGTCCTATCTCCTTCCAAGAAATAGGTGGAATCACTGGAGCTCGAAACATCATCCAAAAAACTCATCATCCTGACAAGACAAAGTAAATGGAAAAGAAATAAAAATTTATCTGTGACAAAGAACTATTATCCATTTCATCAACAAAATAATATAAGTTCTGTGAATAACTATAATACAAATTTATAAATAAACCCAATCCTAGACATGTATTTATAAAAAAACCCAAGCACTATTTAAACATAGAAACACACCCAAAATCAACCCCAAAGTCAACTTTTTGGGTGTGTTTATAAATGGATTTTGAGTGTGTGTAATGATGGGTTTTGGGTGTGTTTATATGTTTAAATAGTGCTTGAGTTTTTTTATAATTTCAACCCCCATTTTGGGTGTTTTAGTGAACCTCCCTAAAAAAAATTACCTGTGACGAAGAACTATTATCCATGCCATTAAAAGCATCTTTGTCAACAATTGAAGATCTATCATGGTCAAAGATAACATCACAAAGTTACACATGAGGTTAATACATAATAATAAGAAAGGAAAAATACAAATAAGTTTGCATTCTTATGATTTTTGTAGCATAGGACAGTTCGTTTTGTCGTGTGTTTGTCCATATTTTCCACACCCATTACAATGCCGACCTTTGTATTTTTCTCTCGCCAACTCCTTTCTGCCCTTAAGTCTTTTCCCGCTTCATTTTGCTTTAACAGGATCTGGTTCATTTAAACTAGTTTCAAAATCAATACTTCTTCTTGCAGAAGGTAGTACTTCTTCGGCACCATTAAGCAATGGTTTAATCCTCTCAATCAATGAATCCAATGCCTCACAGAAGATCTGAAGAGAGAGAGAGAGAGAGAGAGAGAGAGAGAGAGAGAGAGAGAGAGAGAGAGAGAGAGAGCTTGGAAATTAAAGGAATTATTAGGTCTTGTCAGGCTCAGAGTCTTGAAACTGACTGCCTGAAAGGAGTTAAATTGGCTGGTGGTTTAGGGATCATTTTATGCAAGTTGCAGTTTTTAGAATTAGTCTTTTTGTTTCAATTCAACATTATTACTAAGATTCCCAATTTCAGGAGCAGAGCTCTCTTTACTTTATACTCAATTAATTGCATTGCATGTGATCATTCATAATCAACTCACTAATCACTAATTGAGTGATGACTAACACATCACAATGCTCCCAAAAACGTGCACATATGAGACCAGGTATTGAACTTGCAGTTGCAGCCGGTCCTTTGCACCGGCCAGCCAGCCGTCATAGCTACTTTGGTCCGGCCAAACAATGCACTCACTCAAATTTCAGTAAGTATTATTGAATATCATGATAATGTGAATTAGACTCACCCTTTTAAAATGATTTGTAGTTTTTTTTTTTCCTTTTTTTTGGGGTTTGGTAACCTTAACATGGATCTTTGAAACAATAGTTAATTAGTAAATCACGAAAAAACAAATATAAGGAAATTTTTGGGTCTGTGGTTAATAAATCTTGTTTCAATATATCTTTGCATCCGAGTACAAAATACAGAGAAAGGGTTGGGATTGTCTGTCCCTGACCATGTTGTGTAATTTTGCTACTTCCTATGAAATTCAATGTATAAAAGATTTTGCAGTTGAATTTCAGTGGAAGTGTCAAAAAAAACTCCTGGAAAGACAGTCCCCCAATAGAAATATCCTCCCAAACCCAAAAAAGAACAAAACTAACTCTTCTTCGTCTACATGCACATTGCACCCACCCACTACTATACAGCTTAGGACAAAACCCAAAGAAACAAAAAAATCAAGGACAAAAAAAAGGTGATCAAAAACTAAACTAAACTAAAATGGCTGCAACACAGGCCTAGTATGAAGCTGCAACACAGGCCTACAATGGCTGCAATCTTTGCTTTTTTCGGTTGGTTTGCGCCTATTTCGTTACCAACCCTTGTGGACACACTGAAGCTTAGGGACGAGGGGAATATGTAGATCAGAGAAGTGGTTTGGATCAAAATGCCCATTGAAGCAACAGTGGCTCTTGGGTTTAACAGCAAACCACGGAGCAAAATCATTATCTCATACCACCACCGTTCTAGGCACACAGAAATGCAGCTTGGCACTGCCAAATTAAAAAGAGTCCTCCATTCTCTGAAGCAGTCCATTGAAATCCCTCCCCAGGTTTTCTTGTAGACCCCAGAGATAATGATGTAGATGATTAAAGAAGCTACAAGATTGAAGTTAGACCAAACCCTACTTAGAGCCACACCTCTGATGCCTAAATTGAGGTACGAGACAAGAAAGTAATGTTGGCGTGAGTCCTATTTTAGGTAAGAAATTAATATAAGGATTCTTGTAAATATTGTATTACCTATTCTATCAGGATTAGCTTTTATCTTTTCCTTTGGTAAAAAGGCATTGTTCACTATATATACACCTCCTTTGAGAGAAGAATATATATCATAAATTCACCCTATATCCTTATATTTGACTTGGTATCAGAGCTTAGGGTTATATTTGCCCTAGAATAGCAGACCTCCCTTACTGCTACAGATTTTTTCCTTTTTGCCTATTATTTTGTTTTAATTCCTTGCCGAGTTATTTGGCTCCATGGGGGATATGCAGGGTTTGTTTAATGAAGATGGCCAATCCAATGAGGTACCACAAATTACCTCAGGGGGTTCTGGTCAGCCTATGTCAATTGTCAATGTTCATCATGATTCTTCCGCTGCTCCTACAATTGTCAAATTGAATGGAACAAATTATTCAGTATGGTCCCAGCTACTTGAGTTACATGTTGCTGGGAAAGGAAAATATGGGTATTTGACAGGCGCTTCCGCTACACCAGCTCTGGCAGACTCCAATTACAATAAGTGGTATGCTGAAAACGCAATTGTGAAGGGATGGCTGATTCAGTCTATGGAGCCTGATATTATGCAAATTTTCCTTCCCTACAAAACTGCCAAAGATGTATGGGAGAATGTGAAAAAAAAACATACTATGATGGCCAAGATCAGTCACAGATTTATGAGTTAACTTGTCGGGCATTCAAGGCGAAACAGTCTGGACAACAACTTGTCACATACTCTGCAGAATTGCAAAGTATTTGGCATGATATTGATTACCGACGACCAAATAAATTTACTAATTCATCAGATATTTTGCTTCGTCATCAGGAGATTGAGATTGAGAGGGTTTATGTATTTAGGCTGGATTAGATGATGTGTTTGACAGAGTTTGTAGCGATATTCTTCGCATGGATCTGTTTCCGAATTTGGAGAAAGCTTTTTCATGTGTCAGGCGAGAAGACCAGCGGCGATCCACCATGATGGTACCACCAACCCCGGTGAACACTGGAGTTGCTATGGTAGCAAGGAACTCCAGGCTTGCCTCTTCCTACAAACCTGCCGATTCTACAATTAATTGACCTACAAGGCACTCTATGCATGCCTCTTCCTACAAAACTGCAGGTTCTACAGCTAACAGACCTATAGGTTCTACAAGACCCAATGATCCACAACGAGTTAAACCTCAGAATGGTGAAAGGTGTACTCATTGCAATAGCACGAATCACTTTGTAACTGATTGTTTTAAATTAGATGGCTATCCAGAATGGTGGGATGAAGTCAAGGAGCGTAACAAGGCCAAAGTAGCTGCTGAACGATACGCACAAGGCAAGGTCGCACTCTGCATAGGATCTCCTGACACTTCTGTCCCTCAAGCTTCCCCTATGCCATCCGTCTCCTCCTCCACTGTTCCTCCAGGTTTTGCCGCCCTCCCTACAGGTGATTCGAGCACTTCTTCTAATACCTCAAGTAGTGCTTTTGTTGCTGTTACTGGCTTAGGTATTGGTTCTGGATGGATTATTGATTCAGGTGCTTCAAATCACATGACATTTGACTTGACAAATTTGAAGACTCGTACTACTCCTAGCCTTACTAGTATGGCGAATGCAAATGGCCAATCCTACCCTGTGACTGGGGCAGGCACTGTTGATCTTTCTCCAAATTTAACTTTGGAACATGTTCTTCTTGTTCCTTCTTTATCTCAGAATTTATTATCTGTTGGACAAGTGACTGAACAATTAAATTGTTTTGTATTACTCTATCCCTTGTTTTGCCTTCTTCAGGATATTCGAACCCAGGAAATAATTGGGCGTGGTACTAACAGAGGAGGACTATATTATGTGGATGATGTTTGCACGGGAAAAGCCCTTATTGCTCATGACTCAGCTGCAGACAAGAAGACACAATTTTGGTTATGGCATTGGCATTTAGGACATGCTTCTTTTGGTTATTTAAAACATTTATTTCCAGCTTTATTTTTGGATTTTGATATTTCTAGTCTTCAGTGCGAAACTTGTATTCTTGCCAAGAGTCACCGTGTTTCATACCCTATTAGTTTCAATAAGAATGATAAACCTTTTGCTCTTATTCATTCTGATGTATGGGGTCCTTCCCCAGTCTTTACAATCTCTGCCATTAGATAGTTTGTGACTTTCATTGATGATTATACGAGAATGACATGGATATATTTTATGAAAAATAAAAGTGAGGTTTTTGGTCTCTTCAAGCAATTTTATCAGATGGTTCAGACACAGTTCTCCACAAAAATTCAGTTTCTGCGCTCAGATAATGGAGGTGAATATGTGAATCATGATTTTGTGTCCTTCTTTCAGGATAATGGTCTTCTCCATGAAACTACATGTCCCTATACCCCTCAACAAAATGGGGTTGCTGAAAGGAAAAATAGTCATATTCTTGAGACGGCCCGGAGTATTTTGATAGAAGCTCATATGCCTAAGATGTTTTGGAGTGATGCCATATTATATGTAGTGTATTTATTAAATCGTATGCCCTCTTCTTTCCATGGATACAAGACACCACTGGATGTTTTGACTTCGACACATCCCCTACCGTCAGTCCTGACTCTCCATCCCCGCATTTTTGGTTGTATAGCCTACGTTCACATCCTTAAACACCTACGGTCTAAATTGGATCCATGTGCTCTTAAATGTGTGTTTGTGGGTTTCTCCCCATATTCCAAAGGATATCGATGCTACCATCCTCCGACAAAGCGTACGTATGTCACAATGGATGTCACTTTCTCAGAGTTGTCCATGTATTTTCATCATGAATCCAACTCTCCTCTTCAGGGGGAGAAGGAGAATATTGAAGAGTAGAATTGGAATTGGACAATTATGTTACCTGATATTACCATAGAAAGAGAAGAAGTAATCTGCAATGACAAAGAAAATGTAGTCACATTAGTTGAGGACTTGGCATCACATCACTACTACGTTTCACCATTTGCGCGACGAAGAACCATTCGTCGCGCAAAACTTACTCGCGCGACGAAACAAAATATTCGTCGCGCAAACCACTAAAAATTTGCGCGACCAAATGTTTCATCGCACGAAATGTCTTTGCGCAACTAAAAAATTCGTCGTCGCGCAAACAAAGTTAAAAAGAGCGGGGGAAATTTTTTTGGCACGAAACATTTGCGCGACGAGAAATATCGTCACTTAAGACAACCTTGCGCGACGACGGATTCGTCGCCCAAAAAGGGACAGAAACCAGTGGGTCCATTTATTTGGCGGTAAAAACTTGTACGACGAAACTCTTAGTCGCAAAAGACAGCTTAGCGCGACGAGAAGATGTTTCGTCGCGTAAGAGAACGAGGGATATTTTATTTTTGGCGCCAAAATTACCTGGTTGGGATATTTTTTTTTGCACGACGTACATACTATTCGTCGCGTAAAGTTCCACGTTTGCGCGACTAATCCTGGTTTTGCGCGACGGAATGTTGTTTTTGAGCGACGAAAAATACCTGCGTCGCGCAAAAGGTAGATGTCGGCAGGTGATTGCGCGACGAAAAAAATGGTTTGCGCAACGGACTATTTGGTTTTTTGCGACGGAATTTTGTGCGACGAAATTATGTATTCGTCGTGCAAAGTCCTTCTTCTTCATATTAGAATTCTGCCATTGCAGAGGCAGAATGCGAAAAAAAAAGCATTCTGCCTCTGCCTCTCTCTCAACCTCTCTGCCGCTGCTGGGACTTCAATACATTGATTGGGTAAATATTTTTCGTCATTAGTTTAAAAGTATTAATTTAAGTTCGTACTAAGGTTTTTTATTTTGTTTTCGTTGGGGATATTTGTAATTAGCGATTGGTGGAGAACGATTGAGAAGGTATTTTATTCGTTTTATATATTAATAATGTTAATTTGTAATGTTTAAAATTTTCTTGTGAAGTTATATTTATATTATGTTGTTAAATTGTGTGTAACGTAGCACAATCTGTTGTGATGTACGAAGTTAATTGAAATTAACTTCGTACTTTTATTTTTATGTTTAGTAACACTTAATTTCCCGTTCGAGATTAGTTGGATTTCGTGCATGGATGCGTAATGCATAACTGCGGTCCAATTAATTCTTGAATTGTCCCATTATTTAGACAGTTTGGTAATGCATAGTGTTGTCACGTAATCTATGGCTACAGGATTAGGTTTCGATTGTGGATATTTCGTTGTCATCTCGGTACGTTCTTCGGGTGGTACATAGGTATTTATACCTATGGCCACCTCAAGACCTGTAGCGAGATGCTGGCGAAATTCATCCACGTCGAAATCTAATCTCATGTAGTCGTAGGTTACGTGGCAGGAGTATGCATTCCCGAATGGGATAGGACCCTTACCGGAGGCATAAGGTGACATTATAACTTCGTATGAAGTTGTTGTGATTGTTGTGTTGTGATTCTGGTTTCAGGAATTATGGACAGAAGGTGGATACAGAACCCGAATAGATGCACAGATGAATACTTGGATGGAATCGAGGATTTTATTGAGTTTGCACGTAGACACAACCCGGGTGCAACTAGAATCCGTTGTCCTTGTAGGAGGTGCAACAACACGTTATGGGAGACAATTGAAAATGTTGGATTTCATTTAGTAAGGAATGGAATGATTGAGACATATAGCATTTGGAACAATTAGAGCATGCTTCGTCTTCAAATGCCACAAGAGTGGACAATGTTCAACCTATTGTGGATGCTAATGATCAAGTCATGGATATTATACAGGATGTTTTTCCATTTGCATCGACCAACATGAATCAAGAAGAGCAAGATGATGTGCCTACACCAATAGACAGTGCGGAGTTTGAACAATATGAGAAATTGTTAAAAAATGCCAACCAAGAGTTATACCCGGGGTGCGAGAGCTTTTTCGTTCTCAGCGCCATTGTGGAGCTAATGCACGGAAAAATAAAGTATCGTATGTCGAACCTGTGTTTCGATTACTTTTTGGGG